ATATATATATATATATACATATATCCATTTTATTGTTTGTTTTCGATTGTAAAGTTGTAATTTGTCATCTTCTTCGTTTTCTATGATTGTTTATAAATTAATATTAAAATTTACCCGTGCTTATAACTAATTTCTACTAATCTTCAATTAATACATATACCACAGTAAATATGGAAGTACTTAAAATGCGCGAATCACGTATAACATAAGTAGTATGTGTAAGTATATGTATTTTATGTTCTTGCGTGCTCGAATACGTAATAATATTAAAAATTTTACTATTTTAATACCGGATTCTTAAAGACCTATTGAAATTTGGTGTAATCTAAGTTTCTCAGTTCCTGTTATACCAAGTTTAATAACATTTGAGTTGGTAGTTTCACTTCTACCAGGGGTCCCGAGACCCTCACCTAGTTTTTTCATTCGTTTTTAAATTTGGTATCATAGAATTTAATAATTTTTAACAAATCACTTTTGTTTTTATGAGTTATGAAATCTTCAAAATTATTGTCTCGCTCTCAAACCTACTTGTATATTCCGTCATAGTCGTGTCAAGAAAATCAAAAGTTTGTCTGTATAGGTCTTGCAAATTTAAGTACACATACGCATTTGGGTCCGGTGTCGAATTGGGGCCCGGGCCATTTTCTTCTAATTAATGTTGAATTTGGGCTAAACATGCAAACGCTTTTTGATTCTTACCACTACTTTACATTTTAATATACACTTCTAAAATAAGATAGTAATTAAATTGCTTGTACGTTTGATTCTAAGTGTGATACTTTCTATTAGTCGTTTAGTCCCTGTTAGCCCTTCAGTAATACCGATAGAAATGCTGTTGTTGAATATGTGGCAAGTCATAATCATGATCCAGTATTGGAAACTATGGAAACTAATTTAAATTCTTAAGAGAATAAATACTAAAGTATCAACAAGGTACGATCACTCGATTATTTTATTCAAAATGTTTCTAAAAAACTTTTGATTGTATATTAATAGATCACAAATATATGTTACTATACTGACGAAAAACTATTATATTGAATGACGAGAACACGTTTTGCTACAACGATGAATCTATTAAATTTTGAAACATGTTTTTTAAACACGCCAGTTGTTTTTTAAAACTGCCAGTCCAAAGCCTGGGTGAAGTGTGATAGAAAAAAGTGTTGTAAAATAAATAGACCGGGCTCCCATTCGACACTGATTAACAAATCTGATTAATATCCCGGCCCCAGTTTGACACTATTTAAAAAAGGAGACAATGGCCTGAGCCCCAATTCGATACTCATTAAAAAGGAGATAATTGTTCAGCCTTAATTCGACACTGGCCTGCAGTGGTTTATGTAAAATCGTTAAAATAATCATAGACTTTTATTAACATTTTACTGTACAATTTGAACCTTCCAACAGTTTTAAAGAGCGCCACCACTAGCGATAGTTGGAGTCACAGAACTGAAGATAATGCACGGAAGTTAGTGACAATGTCTCATTAATAATTTAATCTTACAAATCGATCAAGTTAGAAAACGTGTATACAAGTAATAATATGAATTTTCAATTGTCTGTGATAACCTTACCCATATTTCTGAAAACAAACATCATAAAACGTATAACCTCAAAGCGTATGGAAAAAAACCATGAATTAGATAATGGGAAATTAATTATGACTTGTATAAACGTCTTTTAACTCGATAGATTTGTAAGATTAATTATTTATACAGTGAGCCGCGATACTTATCGGAAAGATATATCTTTCGCCCACTTGACTCTGCAGGCTCCAAGAAAGCATCATCGTTGGACCTTGTCATCTCATGGGTGCGGACTGATTTCTATAAGGAATCATTTCTAGTGTATTCTGCATCGCTCTGGAACAAGTTGCCGGTGAACATTCGCGAGCTAGTGAGTAGACCGTGCTTCAACGCAAAAATAGAAGATTTCTTGTTGTGTGACGCTCTAAAAAAATAAAATAAAATAAGATCTCCATTTTTTACTGACTGTGATACCCATGCGACTGTGATAGACATGTGACTGTGATATAACTTGTGCAATTATTATATATGATTTTTATATTTTATTGCCATGAGTGTCTACACTTAATGTGATATTACTGCCAATTTGTGTATCTTTATATTTAGTCATGTATTTAATTGTTTTACTGTTATTTTTATTTTTATTTTATTTT